CAATTTCTAATCCTTTTGAATACCTGAAATTAAAAATACTTCTATTTCGGTAAACCTTCGTATTGTAATGATCCGGGATAGCATTCGGTAACTGGTGGCGTGCTTTGAAAACACATAAAAATATATTAAGAAGCACCTTTTTCCCTTTGAATTTGCAATTTACCCAGGTCAAGTTTCATGCATTTCAATTTCTTAGCTTCATTTCAATCCTTTCCTCTCCATTCCCAGAGCTGTCAATATCGTCTCGTTGTTTGATTCATTGTTTGTTTGATGACCCAGCAAGAACGAGGCAAAGTTGAAGACTTGAAGTTGGCTGCTTCACACTACTGCTGTGTTTGATATCCCAAATTTTCGCAAAGTAAACTGCAAGTTCGATCAGTTTGCAAGTTGATTCCGTGAGCAAAAAATTTAATTTGAACTTCTCCTATTCGCTTCACTACCAAACCGTGAAGCCGTTGAAAACATAGCTGTATCAGGTTGTTCATACATAGGCATAATCATTGACTCTGTCTTGAAGCTATTAAGGAAAATTTATTTGTGTGCCCCCATATAGTATTTATAAGATGTATTGTACGATAAGTACAAAAATTCAGTAGCTATCTCCCAATATGTTCTTCCAGAACGATCGGCATCTGGATTTGATTTTCGAAAATGGCGACAANCTATTAAGGAAAATTTATTTGTGTGCCCCCAAATAGTATTTATAAGATGTATTGTACGATGAGTACAAAAATTCAGTAGCTATCTTTCATTATGTTCTTCCAGAACGATCGGCATCTGGATTTGATTTTCGAAAATGGCGACAAAACAATCGCTCGATCAAATCGTCTTTTGGTGGCTGCGTTCAGTACAAATATTGAGCAAGCGTTACTGAAGGCTCCAAATGGAGTCGTTACGTTGGATTTCGATCCAGTAGCCACGGGTTAGCTTTTTGCTTACATTCCTTTGGATGTAAGTCTTTTGTGTCTCGGATATTTTATATTGGTTTTTTTTGACAAGAGACGTATATGTAGGTTTTGTGCTGAACAGTCGGCTTTTTGTTTATGTTTATTTCCAGGTATTTCCGAAGAAACGCTTATAGAAGTGCTAGATTATATGTATACTGGTTCATGTCGATTCTCTCATGAACTTCAATATGCGGCTACTTTTCTTGGCTGTAATGCCCTGATGGAAGTGTGTATTCAGGTGATGATTTTTTTT